CCACCTCTACGACCATCACTGCGGTCTCTTCTGAAGGTTGAAAAATCTTTAAGAGGTACTTCAGGATCTTTGATATTGACGTTGAGCCACGTTTCACAAAGTGCAACAACATCAATAGATTTGAGCAGTGTATGTGAAAATAACAGTAATCAAACAATAAGACAACGGTAGAACTTTATAGACTAGTTGAAATATTTATTATCACAAGCTTTTGTGTACACAGTACACTTCTTCAGGTGAAATTATTGTGGAATTAATAAAGTGCAACAAAGTATTCACCTGAAGAAGTGTACTGTGTACACGAAAGCTTGTGATAATAAATATTTCAAGTAGTCTATAAAGTGCGACCGTTGAGTCAATACTGTATACGATCGTTTGCAATTTCGGTACATATTCTATTTTATGAACAAATACACTAAAGAAACGTTCAAAATTACGAGGAGGTACAAGTAAGGTAGCCCTCCATAAAATAGTAAAAAAAAATTGTGCAATCCGCTTTGACGGAGATCGCTTATTTACCCAAGAATAAGACGAGCGCACATCAACACGGTTTTAGTGTACGACGTCACACTTTAACAGTCTAGGTCATGCTGATTGGTAGATACAGTACAGGTAAAATGAATGATAGCATGTTTTACATACTGCCTGACTGAAAATAATGGGCTGTACAAGTTGTAAATAATTGGGATTTGGAGGGAAATCACCTTCCTGCCGCTTAAAAAATCTACTCGCGCTATGAAATGATCTTGTCGCACTGAGCCCGACAAAGTTGAATTCCTTGTCGCACCTTAAAAAATCATGTCGCAAATGCGACCAAATAACCTTTAACTTCCAGCCCTGATTAAAGGGCATAATCGATCTTTACAGAGTGTCTAATTGATCTGTCAATTTTATACCAGGGGCCTACAGTATTGCATATGAGTATTTAACAATAAGAAAAATTGGGAAAACAGTTTCCTTTGAAATTTACTTAAGCGAGTGTGTATGAAACAGTGTCTATGGCAACAATAATTTGATACTACGTCTAGAAGTGTAGAGATACGGACCCTATATTAAAAATGGTTGAATTCTAAATGATTACAAGATGACCAAGCATATGAATGAATCAGTCTAAAATCATATTCAAAGATACAATACAGCTAACCGCTAATGCTTGTTTTGCATGTCTATTACACACCGTCACTCACAAATGTATGTAAAACTTGGTCGTAAAATTTGATAACAAGTTGACCATTAAAATCTATTGTAAATATTTATTTAAGTCCATACACCGATTTTGTTTCAAGTTGTTTGTTTTCAATATTATAGCCCTTTTTTTACGACGACAATGTTTTGTAATCGTTCTGTATAACACTCCAAAATGTGGGCAAACAACAGAAGGCTCTAAATTTTTACAAGTTGACCAAGCGTGTTGCTGCATCATTATTGTTCAGTTACGATCACTATTCAAGCAGAGAGCAGCAGGCTGATAATTTGTTTTTCCCACAGCTATTTAGATGTCGTTGTTGGTAACTTTTATTTAAATTGTAAGTGTAAATATTCTCTAGTGTATATACTGTAGATAAGAATTGTAGATAAATAATGCACATAATATCAATTGTCGATGGAGAACGGTGTCAATCATCTGATTAGTCCCATATTAATAGTACCGATATTTTGAATACTCCTCTTCCGCGAATTGTTTTATTGACAGTGACTCATTTAATTCTTATATAATCACTTTAACATTTTAATCTAAATAGTTCACCATATCGTAAAAGTTTGAATACCCACCCAATTCGTTGGCGATCCTCAGTGTATGTTATGTTAATGAAACATGTCATACTGTACAACAAGGGAATGTGTATTACAAAATGCCAGTACGTATTTTTTAGATTTTGACACGCTTCGTTCTGTTGTGTGACCAAATAATGAATTAAGTGCTAAATTTTGATTTAATGCTGGGTAAGTTAAAAACAGACATTCTGTCCAAGTGGGACTCATTCAAAAAACCCCCTGGCTACGGGCCTGGTACTGTCAAGGTGTTTGTCAAGTGGACAATTTTGTAAGTTGCGAGTTTGAAAAGGGTGACTGAATCCTATCACTTAAGCTAGGCCAAGCGTATAGTTTACTACTTCTACTACTACTAGAAATAAAATGTGACATTTAAATTTATTTACTGATATTGATATTAACTTATTATTAGATTACAATTCAACATAAGGTATATAATTGAAATATATACAGCAATTCCGATGTTTTATGCAATCGGAAAATTTGCAATGATAAAAGATAGATAGGGTTTGTGGGATATGGTTGGTAGCTACAATGGAAAAAATAAGAATATAAATTGTATTTAATAATGATTTATCAAGTATACTAAATAAATATTAAACATTACTAATTTATAGGAATTAGTCTGATAGTTTCATCAGACCTAGCCTAGCCATAGGCATCCCTCATCTCTCCCTACAACCATAGAGAAATTTGCTACAACCCACGCATATCCACAATGTCAATGACAAGCCCATTACGCAGCTATCCGTCAACAGAAGAATAGTAAAATAGTATCAAAAAGTGAAAACCGATTTAAATGTGCACAAGCTAACTCTGAACAGTGTGCAAATTGTTTGCGCATTCTAATTAAAAATTGTGCAACAATCTCCTTGCAGAGTTTGCAAACTGTACAGAATCTCAGCCTTGCTAATTGCAGCAGTTTTCAAATTATTAAAAAAAAAATCCATGCACAGTTTGCAAATTGCGCAAAAAAAAAAGCTTGCACAATTTTTGCAAATGTCTCAAAACTGCCCACGATATTGCTAGCTTACTACTAGGCCTACCTAGGCCGACTTAATAGTAAGGCTAGCCTAGGCTACCCAGAGAGGCCTCTTAGCTAGGCCTAGGCGGATGCCAGTCAATTCGAGCGGATGCCAGTTCGAGCGGATGCATTTAGTGCGAACTATAACAAGGGTGAATTTATCGTCGCCGTATTCTTGTATTTGTTTGTTTTAAATGCAAAAAATGCTCTGATTACTAAGGTCCTGAAAGGTTTTTAGTACTTTTTGATAATTACTCCATGTTTGAATTACAGTCTTGGCAACTCCGACTAGGCCTAGGCCTACCAATGGCATATGACCGGTTGGCGATTTTTTTTCCGTACGAAACATTTACATGAAACTCCACTCGGGCCGTCTCGGCTGAATCGACCCGAAAATCTCATTGCAGAATTCAGGAGGTCAAAAGGTCATCAACAGATAAACGTCTACAGAACAACTTCTGAGAGAACGTCCTGTCTAATTTTTAAAAATACATTGATGTTACCGTGTTAATACCAATGGGTCGTTTAAAATGACATATAATATTTGATTAAGCTGCACGAGTAATGAAAAGTGTTATTTTAACTTGAGTTACATACTA